CCAGTAATATTTTTAAAGATTATTATAGTATTCACTAACTCTTTTTCCCCCTTAGGCACCCTTCCAGAGTTTAATTTTCTCCCTCCTACCTTTCTTTCGACAGCGATCTTTGGTTGTAAAATAATAGAGCATCAGCCAGCAATAATTTGCAATCCAAACAGAGCCGACGCTGGCTGACGTTTACTGAAACCTCATCCCCCCCTTTTCCCTTTCCCTCCCAGCTCCGTCACCGCGTGTTTGTACAGACAAGGCCTGAGTTCTGGCCACTGCTTTTAATATTGAGGCCTATGGCCAGCCTTGGCTGAGCAGGGGGAGAATAGGTGGAAAAGTTGGGAGACTGCGTTCATTAATTAAAGCCAGTCAGCAGTAGAGGAGATGCTATCAGACAGTCAAGTAGACTGGACTATAGTTGGACCAATACTGGTCAGACAGATGATAGCCAACAGACACGTCTTCCCACATAGTATTGTGGGGAAATTTTGATACAAAGACAAAAACATGCTAACATGGCCATGAAAGGAGAAAAACTGAGACTAGCAAAGCAGCCACAATATTCAGACCAGGCCCGGGCTGTGTTCAAACAGAACACAAAGCAAATTTTAGATACGGTGTGTCTATACCATAAGTAGAAAAACTGAATAGGCATAAATCTGCTCAAGAGGGAAGAAAATAAATCTGGACGAGGTAAAAGTGTTTGAACCTGAGTGGGAAAAAAAATTCCGCACTTATTTCATGGGTTTATGAATGTAGTTCATAAATGTACAGAGATGAGAAGAAAAACATCCCTGGTCAATAATGTTAAGGATCATTAGGCTTTAAGGCCTTGAATGTGAGGACTGGCTGTGTGGTGTTCAGAAAGGCATAAACTCACAGACCAATCAAGAAGGGCAGTATGGGGCAGCTGTGGCTCAGGGGTAAAGCGGGTTAACCCCTGATCGCAGGGTTGGCAGTTTGATTCCCAGTCACCCCAGTCCACGTGACGAAGAGTCTTTGGGCAAGACACTGAACCCCAAGGTATTTTAACGTGACTGCATCTCATAAAAACAAGAAAAATATCTTGTTATAACGAGAAAGGCTTCTCATAACAAAATACTAAGCAAGTGTTTAGGTGAGTGGAACATTTCCTAAACAATTACGGTGTGGTGAGCATGTACACGAACCCACTCCTAGTAAGTAGCCTGCAACAGAATCCTGCTGGGTTAGGTATCCATGGGGACCGGATGGGTAACCTGCAAAAATTATGTGTAATGGGTAAAAATTGTGTTTATATCCATTTTTGCAATGGTAAAAATGAACTGAATGCAAGTTATTTTAAACATCTAACCCATATAATTCAATTTGCTTGTTGTCTTACAACAAAAGCACATTGAGAACCCCTGTACCAGAGTCAAATTCCTTGAGTATTTAAACATACTTGACTGATAAACATTATCATGATTTCATCAAGCCTAAATAACTGATAGATTTGTGCCACAGGTCTTTACAAAAAAAGACCTGTGGCACAACCTTTGACCAGCTAAGAACTCAACTGCAGGAGCCCAGGTGCTGTGTCCATCAACAGATACCTTCCCAAGAACCCAACTCTCAAGCACGTGACTATGTAGTTTAAAGTCTGTTTTAATTACAGGTAGGTTCATGGGTCTAATGTTAATGGGTTGGGTCAAGTCTGGATTTCATTTAGAGATAACTGCAGGTAAAGAGCTGGGTCCGATACAGAGCTCTGCGGTGTGGGTTTGCAAAATAGGACCTGTGCAGGACTCGGCTTTGCTGTTCTATTCACTGAGCACAGTAAGAAATGTCTTCCAGCTCCACCTTCTAAATTTGTATACAGAGATCCATACAATAAGGAACTATCAAGATAGAACAGTACTAACACTATGATTGCAAGGGTCTGTGATCAGATTATCCAGAAAACACATTCAGATATAAATCACATGTTATTTGTCAATGGAGCAGAATAGAAGAAAAGCTAGTGAGAGTGCAAGAGGTGCTTGTTGGATTTTATGTCCTGCAATATCCCTTGCTATGAGACAGGTAGAGAGAAAAGGAAAGTACATTTGGGCAGATAGTCAGATGGGTACACAGTGAAATTAAACACTAAATTTCTCCTCAGTGTCTAAAGCCCCACTTACTGGAACTCCTGTGGATTCCTCTGGTCAGTGGTCAGCTAATGCAAACTAATCATCACTTTTTATGGGCTGAAGTCTGACCACAATACAACCCAGGACAAGGCCTAGCAGACTGAAAAACAGAGTCCAGGGCCATTTTCCACCATAGTCACCACTACTAACACCAGCTCTGCAAAAATCCTCTTTAAAAAAATAATAAAAAAAAGCATTAGTAATGAAAGTTAAGCAATTAGTTGCTTTCACACATCATGATCAGGGTGCGCAAAATTGTCAACTTAATATTGGGCATGCTGCACAAATTCAACAGCAGACAGAAAAAAAAATCTATACATTTCAAAAAACATAATGTTGTATAGAAGTTGGCTTGCGTTTCCTCCTACAGGGCTTCTGTGGCCAAAAACAATCTTGAGGAGCACAGCTGAATGTTTTCATTGTGTTTCTTCTGCTGAGGTGGGTACAAGAGTGGGTTTCGGCTAGTCAGTGCAGGTAAAGGCTGGTTCACTAACATACACCCACACACTTATAAAAAGATGATACACATAAGCAGACCCCCACCTGCCAAGAGCTTCATGCCAGTAAAAGCTGTTTGCACTGGATAAACCAACAAGGGTCACTTGCAATACTATTTAATTTATGTAGTTTAGTGTTTTTGCCTGTTCTCAAATCGTGTCCGTGCACACTAACTCAGCAGTCTCCAGCCTATTTTTTTTTTTTTTTTTACAAAATTAGAGTAGCTGAGAGCTACTCAGGTTTTATGTTAGACTACCAATTACATTTATTCACATACTGTATCAAAACTTTCAAACAGACCATCAAATCAAACCAGCTAAGTAAGTTAACTGTTTTGTGAAACAAACTATCAAACCTATTCTGTATCAAAAACACCAGTCATCACATCAGGTGACCAAGCTCACATGCACCTCCTTTCACATATTTAAACCTTATTTATGAATTTATGTACTGTTGTGAAAGCATTGGAAAGATGGTTACTGTTGTTTGGGCTCCTTAATATAAACAATGGAGGCAATTAAGGTAGGCTACTTAAAACCCTGTCATGCCCGACTGCCACAGTTTGACTTAAAAATGTCTTAAGAGGGTGAAGGAGGGACGTAGACTGTATACTATCATGCTAAGATAACAGGAGGCATAGTGGGTTAGGGGCTAGTTGTTTCTTTGCCCTCCGGCTGTTGACCAGTCCAACTGTCTGGGAATAAAGGTTGCATTTAAAATGAATGGTGCATGCATTGATACTGCAATACTACTCACCCTATGGCAACAGTTACATTAGAATAAGTGGTCTGTCAGGAAACAAGTTCACCTTAGTCTGGCTTGATGAACTAAACAGTAGTGATCCTGGGTAACTGGTATCATGAAGCTGGTTAACAGCTGCCTCCACTTAACTCAAGTTTCCCCCAGTCAGGTTATGTTTGTAAAACAAGCATGTTGACACTACGGAAACTGCAATGGTGGGGAGAGAAAAAAAAAAAAGTAAACCTTCAGAGAACAAACACTAGAATCTGCAGCGTCCAAAAATGGTTTTGCAACACAATATTAAGCAAAAACTTGTCCTTGCATGTTTTTCTTCCCATCTTACATGCACAGAACCAATATGCACACAAACCATAAGTAAGGGAAACCATGGCACTTGAGACATAAGATGTACACAGTGACTTTACTAGTCATTCCCATAATAACACCTTTGAGTTTGTTTACTTGAAACAAATATTCCATATATACCAGTAACCATTTAAATCTGGGTGTCCAGTTTTTTTAATTTAATGTATAATTGACATTAAGAAAATATGCACCAATTTGAGTAACCAACTTCAGTTCACCATGCACCATTTGTCTTCACTAGCACAATTCGACCTGGAGAGCTGAGGTTTTATGTATTTAAAAGTTATAGTTGCAGTGCAGAATTTTTACTATGTGTCAGGCATCTAATATGATGCACAAAAACCACTTAGTTTTTACACAAGGTAACATGTAAAAAGCATGTGCAGCCCTCATATTGACTGTGCCTAAACAGTCAGAAAAACATGCAATTTTTATTTTTAAAACAGCTTGCATTTATATCCATTTACATATTTCAGTTTATAACATCTTTAAAGTCACGATCCTCTTTCTTTGCTGGGGAAAGCCAATATTGAAGTCACTGTCTCACCAGGGTAACACCAGTCATCAGCAACAGGCTGGAGGGAAGAAAAAAAAAAAAAAAAAAAAGCACTGTCACATTAAAAAGCCATCCCTGGTAGGCTAGTGGTTAAGGCAGCAGCCCGGGTTTGAGTCAGGGTTGCGTCAGGAAGGGCATCCAGTGTAAAACATGCCAAATGTCAACATGAGAGTCATGTGAAAATTTGCTGTGGTGACCCCTAAACAGGAAAAGCTGAAAGTGACTTTCATGTGTTAAAAAGGTTCTTGCAGCCAACTGACTCAACTTTAACTAAATGAAGCTTAGATAACCGAAGCTAGAAACTGACTGCTTTAATTATGCAGCGTCTCACATTTAGACAGCAGGAATTTTTTTTGACAGGTGTAAGGAGATGCAGTTCTAGCAGGTATCATCCTAAACGGCATAGTTAGTATACCCTATAGAAGGGGGAATATTTACCCCAAAATCAGTCCACTTAACATGTGAGACAACGGGATCAGAATTTCATGATTTGCATAACATTGATATATGGCCAGGATACTGATAAGCCTTCACAAGTGTGATCAAGTAATAGAGCTGTAGATGTTAATGGCACACTTGATGTGCAAAGTTTGTCAAATGTAAAGATGCAGTACCTTTGACATGTAGGTTAACTGTACATAAACCTTGTAATTACCAGTGTATTGTAGATCAACCAAAATGAATCTTTTAATGCCAAACATGTTTAACAATTTATTAAAAGCAAGGACAGATTAAGTCAGTCATCATCAACTGTAGTCGTCACTGGCTCATTGGGGCACACCATTGACATTGTCTCGCCAGGGGATGCTGCTGTAGTTGAGTCGTCTGGGTAGACCGCAGGTTGAGTCACTGTACTACTCTCAAAGTATGCCACAGTGGTCTTATCGCTGGGGTACACCACAGTAGTAGTTTTGCTGGGGGAAGGCACCGGTGGAGTAGTCTCACTGGAGTAAGGTACTGGCATAGTCTTTGTCTCACTGGGGTAGACCACAGGTTCAGCCACAGTAGTAGTCGTCGTCGTCGTCTCACCAGGGGAAGACTTTAGACCACAGGTTCAGCCACAGTAGTAGTTGTCGTCGTCTCACCAGGGGAAGACTTGGTCATTATGCTAGGGTATGCCACAGTAGTGTTCTCGCCAAGGGAAGCCACTGTTATGCCCCTGGCAGAAGCCACAGTAGACCTTTTGCCAGGCAACGCTGCCGTTTCAGCCATCTTACCAGGGTATGCTACAGTAGTTTTGCTGGGGGAAGGCAATGGGGTAGTCGTCATCTTGCCAGAGGACGCCACTGTAGTTGTCATCTTGCCAGAGGACGCCACTGTAGTTTCCTTGCAGGAGTATGCCACAGTACGCAGCATGTCATCAACGTCAGCCACTGTAGTCGACATGCTGCCAGAAGCCACAGTAGATGCTTCGTCAGGAAAAGCTGCTGTTGTAGTTGCCACAGTAGTTTGACTGGGGGAAGGCACTGGTGTAGTCTCTGTATTGGCAGGGTATGCTGCATAAGTGAGCATCTCACCAGAGGAAGCCACTGTTGTGGTCATCTCACCAGGGTACACAACAGGTCTAGCCACTGTAGTCGTCTCTCTTGGGTATACCACAGTAGTCATCTCAGCAGGGTATGCCATAACAGTCGTTTTGCTAGGAGAAGGCACCATTTTAGTTGTCATTTCACCATGGGAAGCCACTGTTGAGGTAGTTTTGCTGGGGTAAGTTACAGTAGCCACCTCACTAGGTAAAGCTACTGATGTAGCCATAGTATCACTGGGGTATGCCACATTAGTCTTTGTGGTCTCACCAAGGTACATTACTGTTGTCGCTGTCTTGCAGGTGGATGGCACAGTACTCTTCATGTTGCTGAGGTATGCCACCATAGTCTTCAACCTCATCTTGCCAGGGGTTGTCATTTCATTGGGAGAAGCCAGTGTCTTAGACATCTCGCCAGGGGAAGCCACTGGTTTAGTCGTCATCTCATTGGGGTATGCTGCCATAGGTTTAGCCACTGTAGTCTTGTCACCAGAAGCCACAGTAGATGCTTTGCCAGGAAAGGCTGCTGTTGCGTTTGCCTTACCAGTAGTTGTTTGACTGGGGGGAGGCACCATTTTAGTCATCTCACTGTCGAAAGCCACTGGTGGAGCCTTTGTATTGGCAGGGTTTGTCTCACCAGGGGAAGCTACTGTTGTAGTCATCTCACTGGGGTACACCACAGGTTTAACCACTGTAGTTGCCTCTCCAGGGGACACCACCATGGTAGTCTTTGTATGATGGGGGTATGCTGCAGTAGCAGTCACCATAGTTGTCTCACGTGCCATACGTTGCATTAAATAGTGCTGGCGGTCAGCTAACAGCTCAGCTTCTGGTTGTGGGGACAAAATATATATAAAAATTAACCGACACCAGAAATTGACTGTTCCAAAACCTGCAGACTGAAACACTGCTTTAAGACTTCATGGCTGTAATTTTAATTGTAATACTCCAACTTGGCTTAGATTTACAGACAACTCATCTTCAGCTTAGCAAATATTTGACAGAACAAAGATCTTTCCATTAATATATTATGCTTGATTTTAATTAAAGTTTCAGAGCCAACATTGTACAGACTACACTTTAATTCTCCCAAATTAGTCAGAGAAATCAGTGCCACACAGAGCAAGTTCAAATTTAGTTTACCACTTTGCGATACCAACAACTAAAGCTCTACAAAGCCTCCCAATTTTGCCATTAGGGCTTTAGAAAAAGTGCTCAACTTTTACATGTTGAGACAACGCCTCTGAACGGACAAGTCCTAGTGCCTTCTTTAAGGAGATCTCATCAATAAACTGACCTGTAGCACAAAAGAAACAGTTAACATCAGGAAGTAGCTGAGTGAAGACTATGTCATTGATGTTCTTACCTCTCGTAGTCCTGTACTTTACATTACCAGGTTTTCCTTGGATGCCACTAATTGCCAGACAAGAGCCTGTGAACAGAATACATACTATTAGACACTTACTGCTTGATAGCACAGCATAGCACAAACATGTTACATTCTACTAGTCAACACAAGCTTCAGATCGAAAAGAGGGGGGGGGTAAATAAGTAATACCTCTGGTAAAGTAAAAAGTCAGCAACCAGATCAGCAAAGCCCCAGCAGCTCCCATTGCTTCTACCTCAAAGACAACACATTACCTGTGCTGCACCAGGTTTAAAAAAGGCCCATCATCCAGGTGGTTCAGCTGCTGCTAATCAGCTCTAATTGGCTCTCTCCTCAGAGGAGTCGGTGCCAGTTGAGATTCAGCACTTCCTGTGACAAGCATGTGATACAGTCAGTTAGGCTGTAACTCTGAAACCCTAGTTATTTCTTTCATAGTAACTATTTGGGATGTGTTAAGTAGCAATCCTCATATTAAATACAATCTCACATTAGGTACAAGCATGAAACACAAAAATGAACCATTCTACTTTGTCACTACACTCATAACATGCTACTGTTTTTCTCTTAAATACAAGGTAGTGTAAGTACCACAAATCCCAGAATTCCACACTTGGTGTTTAATATTTCTGCATAATGGGTGACCTTAGAACAAGTCTTGTGTAAAACTTCCCAAAATTTGATTTCAGTATAAATTACATCCTAGGTGATCATGAACACATTATGAAACCTGAAACCAAAACAGAACTGTAAATCAGTTATAAGCATCTAAATCTGGTTGTCTGGATTTGTTTTGAAATTGAATGCATTAAATGACATTACTATAATCTTACATGCACCAATGAATTTAAATGACCAAGTTCAGTTCACCTTGCACTGTTTGTCTTTACTAGCACCGTTTTACCTGGAGTTCTGAGCTTACCAGGGAAAGGATTAATACCAGAGCCCTTCGTTCTATAAACAATTGTTTCCCTCACTTGCATTTTAATTGTGCCCACATGGTTTCTAAATTTATTTTGCTGAATACAGCTGCCTTCATAAGTAAAAAAAAAAAACTGAGGCAATAAGTCACCTTAAAGAAATGTTCACCCGTTCTTCAGGTATAGACCGACACGCTGGTAACTTAATGGCAGCATAGAGGCCGACAGCCATCGTGTCCTCATCTGGGAGCAAATATACTTACACTTAACATGAGTGTCTTCACCTCCTTTGTCTGATGGTAGCCTGTCAATGTGTAGATGTAGCCGCGAGGAGGACACAAGGGGAATGACCCAGTATGACTTTACTCCAAAAATAAACAGGTTTGCTCAAATCTTGGTAGGGACATGTCCCTACCATCCA